GAACACAAACAATCCTTCTGCAGTGTGGTGATACGGTGTCATCTAAAAGAATTTACTCCATTTCCATACCTCAGTCCTTTCCTCTTTCATTACTCTCAGCCTGTCCAGCTCCTGTATCTGTCTGTACACAAGATCATCTTGCTGGACTGTCAAGGCGGCTTGGAATCGAAGAAATATTGCACATCAAACACACTAACAGCTATATGTCTTTCCACTGGGTTTCATAATCTCAACTGACAAATAAAATATCAACAGCTGCTAATTGAAATGCCCTTCAGCAAATGTAAACAAAACTGAGCTGAGAAATATGGCAGTAAAAAAGCATCAAATAAGGGCTTTTCACACTTGTCTGTTTAAACACTGGATAAACAGTTCTGTGTCTCCCTGTATTATATTTAATAATGTAAACATTTTCTCATCATTTTTATGTATTTCATACAAAAAAAGAGCCGCTGGGGAATTCAGCTAAATGACCTTTTCTGTTTCCTTTGTGTTTTCTTGTGATATTTTCCTTGAACTGTTCCTTTAACATACTTGGGCACATTTGCATATATCAGAAATATTTATGAGGTCAATAACATTGATTTGATGAGTACATCTCACAATGTGGTTGTCATGTACTTGTAATTTAATTTTTCTTCAGACTGACTGGAATTACTATACAAAACACATGAATAAATAACGAGAAAGCACTGTTTAGTTCATTATTGCTCTTTCTAAAATATAATATATGCATTGCTTTACACTGTATAAACTATCCCTGAGACTACAATTTATAGTGTTCATGTCAGTGCTAATATTTACAGTAAAAATGTCACTGAACTGATGTGTTTACAGTGTGGTTATTCAGTTAATTTAATTTGAGTAGAATATCAAATTGAAAACAGTTTATCTAGAAATCTCTCCAGAGGATTTATAAATTAGAAATAAACAATGAATAACTGTCTAACTGTCATACTTTTATAAGAAAACTGAATTATACTCTAATGCTTTACTCAACCATATTAACAAAATAGGACTCTATTTTAACGATCTATGCACAAAAGTCATAAAAGCGTCAAGGGTATGAATCCACATTTTCTTTTTAAGGGATGGAAAAATACGCCTTGTGCCCTGACACATAGTCTAACAGGGCTGTGCTTTTGTTTTGTTAAAACAAATACAAATATGCATATAATAAAAAATATCGCTAATATAATGACATTAAACAAATGCAAGTTGTAATGAATAAAATGAAAAAGGCATAGAGATATAAAGAAAGCATGGAGGTAGTGGTTTTTATATTTATGTAGAAAATAATATTTTTTGTAACATTTTAATCTTTTAATCTTTTAATTTTTTTCATATTTAAATATATTTGTTTATTGCTTTAAATCCTGTATTACATAATGTGTAAGCATTTGAACCCACACAGGTGCATAACTAATGCTGGACTTTAGACCTGCTTTTAGTAGGTCAATGGCGCGGTCTATTTCAGTTCTTCAAAATAGCAACACACCAACAATGTGCCTTAACACAAATGATTTGCTATTTAAACAACGTGGTGCAAAATGTGAAAATTACGTTGCGCTGGTCCGAAAAAAGCACCAAATTGCGCCAAACATGTCTAGCGCCTTATTGCACCGGTTATTTGATAGGGCTTATAGCGTTTAACGTTATAATACATTTAAACAGTATAATACCATTCAAAACCACAGCAAACCCATGATAAATATTTGAATAAGTTGTGATTTGATCATGAAAAGTTGTCATTTTCACTGGATGTCCTGGTGATGTTTAATATGAACATTTCCTGAGCTTGGGTTGTGTTAAACTCAAAGTATATGTGTTTTAACCATTATTCAAGAGTGCTTGTTGAAGGTCCTATGAAGTGCTTTGAAACGCAAATTTTTTATTCAATGTTTGACATAATCTCAGCAGAAAAATGAAGAGAGGCTGGTAAATAAAGTAGCTCCTCCCATTTAAAAAAATTAAACCAATAGTGTTTAATTTTATCACAACTCTGCCAGTGATAGTGGAGATCAAGAGCATCAAATGAAAAGCAAATGAGAAGCGCCCCAAATGGGGGCGGGGCATGTCAGAGTATTGGTCAAGAATTGATCAGAAACTATAAATTAGTATAAGGTGACTTGAAATAAATCGATGATCCATTTAGATGGAAGTGACAAACTGCAAGCTTTGGATGTTTATATTGGTTTTATATTTTCTAAACAATAATTTTGTCACTGTTCTGGAGCACTCAAGCTAATAGATATTACTAAAACTAACAGACTGAAACTAACATCTACATTTTTTTATTTTAATTTCAAGTGATCTTTAACGGCATAATTTGTGGATATATCTAAATATTTATTTTTATCTCCGGTAGTTTGTTGTTGATCTGAGACTCTTGTTGTCTCTCTTTCAACTGTGAAACATCAGCAAAGGCAAGTGTTGTCACCTTATGGGCAAACTAATTACTACATATACAGCTGAAGGCACATAAGCAGACTGGATGTACTCTGTGTGAAATCATAACATAGCTTGGAAAACAATTATACAGACAATACATTAGCAATTGCATAAAATGCACAATATCTACAATGTCGAACGTCCATTGAGCACAACCTTAGAATAAGAAAGTGTCTTCAGATGCACTTAATCCAGAGCACCAGTGCCTGTGTGTATGTGCTTTAGTGTGGCGAGAGGGGGAATCCTCTCCTGGGGTCAGTGTTTCAGTATGGGGTGTTCATCAGATAATTAAACCCGAAGGGAGTAAACAGACAGACACACACACATTGTCATTTTCCCCCTCATAGAATGCTCTCAGATTTTGTTCCCAAATGACAGAAGGAAGTGGAAGGCATAAGCTTGTTCTGAAAAGACTGCATTTAACATCCCTTTGATTTTGTGCCTCTGGCTTAACAACTGAAAATAGACAATCCTTCAGAGTAGTGCAATACATAGTGCTTTAAATCAAATCTAATATAGTCGCCGTAATATACTATGTGTGCCCTCCAACGGTTCTTTTGTTATCTTGGATACAAAATAATTCCTAGATCATGAGTATCTGCAAGTTCATTCAGCTTGTGCATCTTTTTGATGAAAATCAACTCAACTATTAAAAATGTTCACAGCACATCACACCACATTACAAGGTCTTACTAATAATCATTTCTAAAACCATTTAGAAATGACTAATTTAGTCGGACACACAAACACACATACAAACACACACACACACGCACACGCGCGCGCGCCCACACACACACACACACAACCACATACACATAGGAATGTATTCAACATCTGGCATTTTTATGAATGAGAATCTGAAAGTTTTTATCATTTTTCTTTTTCTCTACTTTTTTTAATGAATGCATCTTATTATTTTGCCTTTTGCACAAATTACAGTGGTTCTGCTGATGTTGCTTCATTTCTATTGCATCAGAAAGATCCAGAGCTAAAAAGTTTTTTATTTTTTTACTATGGAGACAAATGTTTAAATAAAAAACAAATGTGAGATTATAAGATTTTATAAATAAGAATAGACAATGTTTTTATTGTGCCTCATTTCCAATTGAGCTTCAAAAGGGCAAAGGTGATTTTTAATTGTGAATATAAATATATAAAGAGAAAGTGTTTCCAAGATACTGGTGATGCTTTATTCGGTAGAATATTTTGTAGCTAAAGCCATGTTTTATTTTCAGTGAGAGGCTACTGTAAATCTGAAAGTCAAAAAAAGTATAAAGTTAAAAACTATCTGTATTTAAAAGTGCCAACAACCAACAACTAGCGTTTTATAAATCTTCAAGGATGACAGTTTCAGTTAAAATCTTAAAATCACTTATGATGAAAATTATATTTTTTAAGCTGTTTGGACAGAACTGTGTATAGGTATAATGTGTCCACGATCATATTGGAGTGATATAAACCTAACAAGTCACTTTTTAAAAATTGCCTGATGTAAAATTGCCCCCCTCCCACCACCACTAAATTGGTGGACAGGCACTATAATGACCTAAAATAATGCTGAAATGTGTGTGTGTGTGTGTGTGTCTACTGCAAACAGCCTTTGTGTGTGACTCATCATTTCAGAAAAGCCTGAATAAGCTCCACCACAAATACATGAAATAAATTTACTTGGTATTTTTGACTAATGAGCTGTATTTCAGCTTTATCCCAGTCTGTCTCTGTCACTGACTGCTGTTTATCAAATGTAACATGATGCAAAGCAGACACACACATGGGGACGGTGGGTGGGGAGAAGGAGCTCATTTGCATTTAAAGCTACAGGCTACAAAAACCACCTACACTGTACTCAGACACCAAATTTGGCATATTCTGGAGGCTATAATGAATTATCTGATGGGTATTTTGAGCCGAAACCTTACAGACACATTCTGGAGACACCAAAGGTTTATCTTACATCTTGTAAAAGGGGTAAAACAAGTGCTCTTTAAATTTTAGTAAATTAGCAGCAAACTTTCATTTTGGTATGAACTGTCCCTTTCTAGACACAGAAAATTCCATTAGCGTACCAAATAAATATTTTACATTTCCATCAACATTTACACATATTTTAAGGTGTGTAGAAAAAGGTTGATGCTCAGAATTGACAGCTACTTGGCAAATTATATTATACATATACATATACATATATATATATATATATATATATATATATATATATATATATATATATATATATATATATATATATATATATATATATATATATATATATATATATATAAACAAACTATAAACTGCTATACCAGTACTTTCTGTGACAATTGTAGCCAATTCAACAATGCATGACAACTGTACTCTCTGGGCAAACTCAGATTTGAATGAATTATCATCAAATTTTTTTATATACATATGCAAATTGTTATTTAGAATTAAGATTGAGTAGATGTTTAAATCCAAATCCAGACTTTTAATTAATTCATTATGGCACTTTAATTTGAAGTAAAATGCATTCAACATATGTGTGATCTATTCACATTACTGCACACCTTAACCACGTTGTCGTCCGTCGAGCGACACTCCACCGACTCAGTCACATCGGTCACCGTGCCTTCGGTTCCAACAGTGACCACCTTGACCGGCATGGCGACAGTCTTCCCGGTGAGGACAGCAGTGTTGAGGATCTCTGTCTCCTGCACACAAAGGGCAGATCAATCAGACTGCGTTAACTCCAGATAATTCACCCGTCATTATTCACGATAATTCGTCATTCTGTCAGCTCCAGCTCTTCAGCGCCAACATCGAGTCGCGCTATTAACCCAGTGAGTCATATCATTCAATTAGAGTCATCAGCTCTGGAGAGTCTCGGAGTGAGATGAAGAGGCCTGTTTAGAGCCAAACAACACATCCTGTTTTCATGAAACTGATTCACTCCTGGATAATATATATTAGCGTGAAAAATACACCCCAGAAATAGGTTCACTATCAAGGTACTGTGAAATGAAGAGGGGAGAGAAAACATTTTCAAATATTCTGAACAAAATGACACCAGGGCATTTCTAAGTGTTTACTAGAGTTTTCTGAGAATTGTGTGTGAAATTGTGTAAACAAACTATCTTTTTTAGAGCTAAAATAGTAAAAAGCAATTTACCTAATTATGATTTGGTCTGATGCTGGTCTAAAAAATATTTGAGTGAGTGAAAACATAAAAATGTTAATATAAGAAATCTTTTTTTGACTTAAAATATGTTTTTGGTTGAACATTTTATATAAAAAGTATATGCAGAAGGACTTTTATATTTTCAGTCACCCAGTTAAAGCGTATCTGGTGAACTGCAAGAATCGCTGTTTAAGGTCTGTTTTCTTAAAAAATCAATGATCTTCACTTAATGATTGATATGATATAAAGTGGGTCTCAGAAAGTACAAGAAGCACTGCATTAAATGTATTTTTCCATGTCATGTCTTTAAAATATGAATATTTATTTTAATAACATTTCAATAAATTTTTATGCACTCGCCTGCTGCTCGTCAAATTGCTCATTAAGGCAAAATTCTAATCAGCCAATCACACGGCAGCAACTCAATGCATTAAGGCATGTAGACATAGTCAAGACAATCTGCTGCAGTTTAAACCGAGCATCAGAATGGGGGTGAAAGGTGATTTAAGTGACTTTGAATGTGCTATGGTTGTTGGTGCCAGACGGGCTGGTCTGAGTATTTCAGAAACCGCAGAATAGTTCGAAAAATAGGATATATCCAGTGAGCGCCAGTTCTGCGGGCGCAAATGCTTTGTTGATGCCAGAGGTCAGAGGAGAATGGCCAGACTGGTTCCAGAAAACAAAAAGGCAACAATAACTTAAATAACAACTCGTTACAACTGAGGTATGCAGAAAAGCATCTTTGAACGCCCAACACATTCAACCTTGAGGTGGATAGGCAACAGCAGCAGAAGACCACACAGGGTGGATAACACACCATGTCGTAAAGTGCAGATCATCTCAGACTAGTTTCTTAAACATGACAATAAGTTCACTGTACTCAAATGGCTTCCACAGTCACCAGATCTCAATCCAATATAGCACCTTTGGGATGTGGTGGAATGGGAGATTCGCATCAGCCGACAAATCTGCTGCTAACATGGCAATATGGAACAAAATCCCTGAGGAATATTTCCAGTAGCTTGTTGAATATATGCCACAAATGATTAGAGCAGTTCTAAAGGCAAAAGAGGGTCCAACCCTGTACATGTATGGTGTACCTAATAAAGTGGCCAGTGAGTGTATATGATCAAATGATTCAGTAGAGATCAATGGATCTCCCGTTATCTCAAATGCCCACAATGCACTGCACCACAATGACACATTCCCATTATCGTTTTTTTTTTTTTTTTAATGTGTGTAAAATAACAGAAATAATGCTAACAGTAATTACAGTTCCACTGTAGGAAGTTCAAGAAATGTGATTTATTTAGAACACAATGTCAGGGGGAAAATGATGTCGGCACATCTTTCTTTCACAGACATATCTGGTAATTACAGCGAAACGATAGCTACGGTTACCATTTCTGTGAATCCATTCTCTCCTTGCGTAATATCTTATCTAAAACCCATCCGTCTTTCATTCTATAGTCCAAACAAACCAACGGCTTGGAAATTACATCATTTAAGTTGTGTTCATCCTGCTGGCTGATCTACGCGTGAGAAGATGTACACAACATAAATAAACCTAAATAAAGAAGCCCTCTGCAAGGTTTGTTCTTCATCCCAGAGTCTTTTCTTCTCTGTATGTCCCAGCTCTCACCACTCTCCTTAGAGAAAACAGATAACATTATTTAATCCTGAACTGTGGATAATGAAATTTCAAGCTTGTTAATAAGACTGAGGTCTTCTGTTGCTTCTTTTTTTCTCCAGGCTGATCCCACTTCAGGCTTCACTTGGCAGCTGATTCTTATTTCAATCATTTGAACTTTAATGCACAGCAATTGCGAAGATGAACGAGCCACTTCCTTTCTTTCCCTTTACGCGTTTAAGACGATCATTATTTTCTATCTACCACTGTCTACTTCTGAGGTACAATTTGAATATGCCGTTTCCCTTGATTTCGAAATTATGCAAATGTGCAATAGAGCAGCGAGAGCCTGGTATTCAAGCCTTACGCTCAGGCGTTTTGACAGGGAGTTATCGCTTGTGTTTGATTTGCTGTCAAAACATTAATTTATCAAGACCAGGAAAATGACTCTGATAAATATTCCGCTGGATGGGATGGGTGAAGTGTTTACAATTCACTCTCCTGTTTTCGCTCAGATGATTTCAAAGAACTCGGCGACACCTTTCAGCAGATGAGGAGCTTTCAAATGTCTTTCAATGCGTCCATTCAGCGGCTGTTAGAACCCAACAATGTAATTTTCAGTCAAGCCTGAAGATTACGCCGTGAATTAAAAAGTGAATTCGAGAGTAAAACAGGCCACGCGGTGAAAAACGCCTCTCATTGTGATGCCACTGAGTCTGATGGGCAGCTTTACTTCACTGTAAAAAACAAACAAAGCTGAGGTGAGCTGAGTTCAGAGAGGGAGCACAATCTGAAACCACACAGGTCAAATCTATTGACCCTTGAGAAATATATATGTGCCTCCATTCTTGAACTCGCACTGAAAAAAAGCACAAATATATAGAGGAACTTTCTTTCTTTCTTTTAACAAATAATCACTCTTTATTTATTTATTTTTTTTTACTTTGACAACTAAATATGAGCATTCTAATGCTTTAAGAAAAATAGGAGAAAAAAAATTATTTTTAGGTTTGTGAATGTTTACAGTTATGATTACAGTACTTTCCAAAGTATTATTTCCATATTTTACAAGCACAAGCAATAAGAACACTGTTTTAATCCAGTTCAGTCATATAAAGTAGTGTTTTGATCCTTACTAGTAAAGTACATTGGATTAATCTGTTGTGGTTATTCTATAGTTTTTACGGTAACACAACAACTGATTGCAAAATGACCAATCAAACAAATAAATCAATACTGTAGTTTTCTACAACTATAGGGTATATTATACTAAAATACACCACGGTTACATTGGTAAAAACTAAACTATACTACAGTATTTATTACAGTTTATCAGTTAACTGTAGGTAATAAGACAGTATTAATTAATAAAAAGTTGTAAATTCTATAATATATAAAGTATCATACGCTTAGTTGTATTTTGGTTATGAAATAAAACAAATAGAAAATAAGGTAAAACAATACTAAGACTAAATAGATTTTATAATGTCCTGAATATGGTCATGAACGGCGTTATGGTGAGAGAACACTATATATACAGTTGAAGTCAGAATTATTAGCCCCCTTTGAATTAATTAATTAATTTTTCATATTTTTAAAAAAAAATATTTCTCAAATGATGTTTAACAGAGCAAGGACATTTTCACAGTATGTCTGATAATATATATTTTTTTATAGAGAAAGTCTTATTTGTTTCATTTCGGCTAGAATAAAAGCAGTTTTTGTTTAAAAAAAAAACATTTTAAGGTCAAAATTATTAGCCCCTTTAAACTTTGTTTTTTCGATAGTCTACAGAACAAACTATCATTATACAATGACTTGCCTAATTACCCTAACCTGCCTAGTTACCCTAATTAACCTAGTTAAGCCTTTAAATGTTACTTTAAGCTGTATAGAAGTGTCTTGAAAAATATCAAGTCAAACATTATTTACTGTCATCATGGCAAAGATAAAAGAAATCCGTTATTAGAATTGAGTTATTAAAACTATTATGATTAGAAATGTGCTGAAAAAATGTGCTGATCTCCATTAAACAGAAATTGGGGAAAAAAATAGGGGGGCTAATACTTCAGAGGGGCTAAAAAAACTTTAACTTCATATGTGTGTGTGTGTGTGTGTATAATTTTATACTATATATATATATATATATATATATATATATATATATATATATATATATATATATATATATATATATATATATATATATATATACATATATATATATATATATATATATATTTTTTTTTTTTTTTTTTTTGCGCAATTGGACATGTTTTTTTTACAGCGATTGTGTTTAATGCCCTGATATCATTATAGCATGAACACTCTGCATTTTCTCTGTAGTTTTTGGTGTTTTTTTTTTAACAAACTCGCAACTCATACCACACACATGAGGAATCCACTATTTATGGGGCCCCCTGGTTTTGAAAAGAAGTAATAATTTTAAAATGTTAATGGTTATAGTTAGATATTACAATATGATTTAAAAATTATAAAACAACTATATGATTAATAGACTTCTTGGCATTGGTTTTGGGGCCCCCTAATTCGCCAGACTCTAAGCAACTGCTCACCTTGCTTATTGGTTAAGCTCACCCCTGCCTGTACAGTACAAAATGTGTTCAGCTTGCCAAATTTACATGAATCTTTGATCGTTAGCAGTGTGACTCTGAAGTGCTGTACTGTATGTTTGCAAGTTTTCACCTCAACAAAATTCATAATGTCGACAAAACATTCATGCTAACCACCGCTCAAAAAGTTGGACTTCTGGACAAGGTAGAAGTTACACGAGTGTTAAACAAGAGAGAAAAGTGTGAAAATGTTAATGCTTATATAAGTACACCCCTCACTAATCTCACTTTTAAATTCATGAATTTAATAAGAAGCTACACAATATTATA